GCGTGATAAGATTACGAGAAATGAGTTCACTCTAAATATTTATTTGCAGTATCAACTTAAGTAATGTGACACATCCGCGAGCCGGCCTGCAGTGAATGACACTTTTCGACTCAACTTTTGATTTCTTTATTGAGTTTTTCTGCTATCGACCGAAGACAACGGGATTCCCTCGACTCGTCAGAGTGATTGTGAATAAAAAGCAGTCAGGCCGTAATATAAAGAAGTGTTGTTGTTTGTAGTATTTTGCTTTCTATAATATAAAATAAATTAAAAATAATTTGATATAAAAAAACTGATTGTATTTAAGTGAATTACGGAAAAATAACACAAATAACTTTATTTGTCGTTTCACAGAAATCCAATTTTGGCCTCTGTAGAGACATGCATTTTGATTAACATGTCCAATCTGCATTCAGTTTTCATAATATTTGGGCAAAAAAGAACTACCACCAGTAACAATTTTACCTTAAAAGCTTAGACATCACAAGAAAGAATTAAATTTATTGATGATGTTTGTCACTGATAGTTTAGAAATGAATATTTTTAGCTATGAACTAAAATATTATAATAAAACATAATTTGAATTGGTTGAACTTTAGATTTGAATCAAACGTGTCTGGGCATGAGAACACAAAATAGAATTCAAGGCAGGAGGAGGAGCAGATTAAATACCTTATTATTTATGATAAAGCCTTGTGGTCCACCAAGAAATGTAATTTTGCAACTAAATGAATGTTATTGTTCACGTTGAAATTGTTGGTTAATATTTAATCAAAAATGATCTTGACTGATCGTCTCCAGAAATTTTCAGGCATGATAAAAATAACATTTAAATTTATAGAAATTAATAAAATATTTTTAACTTAAAAATTAAAAAAGTAAAATATTTTTTAAATTACTTAAATTAACTACTTTGTTATTTCGCCCAAAAATATAAGATTTTTCCGATTTTTCTTACAATTCTCAACTGCGCTGGATACAAATTTTAACATATATTCATCTCTTTGAGCTGGGCAGTGTAGCCTAAATAATATTCAGTTGATCTATTTTTAATTAAATTAAAAATTTACCCAAAACCTCATCTTCGACCGTTGTCTGTGCAATTTAGAGCACAAGCATGACCTGCAGGCTGCAGGTTGTGTTTTCAAAAATTTATTGTAAACTAATTGGGCTGAACATCCAGATGAAAATACAAAGCCGTTGACAAAAATCTTTAATCGTCGGGTTTTCCTGAATAAAATTAATTTGATTGCCATCCAAAATTATTCACCAAAATAATCATTAGTAAATAAATATGATTCTTAAAATAATGTCGTTTTTATTTATGAAGGAAAAAAACCAAATCAAGATGACCAATATAATATATTGATAAAATTATAAAATTTTGAGCAAAAAAACTACCCACTTTTAGGAAAAGCCTTAGAATTATCAAAAGCCTTACGATTAACTACACTAATGCGTTGTTATTTAATTTATAATATTGTGAATGAAAACAGAGTAAGACATGTTAAATATCCTTCAAATATAAAGTAGCAGTCAATTATTCTGCGGTAGCCTACTAATTGTCAGGTAAACCTATAAAGAATTCCAGCAGCTCAAACGCGTCGAAGGTAATGTGACTTGACGGACAGGAGCAATTCAATTTGAAATTCAAATCTGTGCAGTGCGGACGACGTCGGCCGCTGTCTTTGAAATTGAGACGTCTTAATTTCGTTATTTAATTCGCTTTCTTCTCTGGCAGCGCGGGTGGCAGAAAAAATGGCACTGATTTATTTACCGACATTTATCTTTTCACTTTTACTCGCACAAATAGAATATTTTAAAATTACATTCTAGAAAGTAAAATGTGTTGCACAAAGTGGTCAATTTTAAACAAACGCGGCGTCGGCGTTCGCAGAGGAAAAGAACCAGATTGCACCTGCAAGCCTTTTGTACGCTTCGTCTTATTGGGATAGGTTGTGTGATTTGTTGTAAAGGCGGCGAAACACTTTTACTTCGTTTATCTGACAAAACGAGGGAAACGTATTGCCAAGGCAATTACCATATGTTGAGTGAACTTTTCTGATGCAACAAAAAAATTTTCAGAAAATCTACCACCTGATTTAGCTGGTTGGCAGATAAAATAATACTCTATCATTCAAATATATATTCACATGTAATAGGAATAGAAGCTCATTAATATGAAATGAAAATCAATTGCCTTCGCAAATACAAGATAATATTTTATAAAATAATATTAAAATGAAATTTTTTACATAAAAAATTGAGTAAAATTATTTTTCCCAAAGGCGTATTGTGAGTTAATGTTTATTTACTATTATTGCTAGGCGATAAGCAATAAATACATCGTTCTTTCAATTTATATAAAAACAGAAAATACAATTTAGAAAACCTTCTTTGAAAACCATAAAAAAAATTAAATAGAAATATTCAATTTTAACTTTTTGCGATTGCTGCTTAGCGATCATGCGGATTCTCTGCTATAATATAGGCAGCATTGGATCGCTTGCAGTGCAGAATGAGTGAGAGAGACCTCTTCATGCTCGAGCTAAAAGAAAGGGTTACGCGCGTGTTTAGTGACGGTTGCGGGAGCCAGAGTGCAGCACCCAGCATCGCAACCCTTTGCCCAGCCAAGGCGACCAGCGAAATATTGATGCTCATTCGTTGAGTTGCACACGTTAAAATTTGACTGCAATTAGATCTAAAAACCTTATATAACATTTTTTATTTTTGCAAGTATGGGCCGTTTAAATACAAAACTCATTAAAGTAACTAAGATTTATTATTATACAAAAAATTATAGGTACCACAAAAATGACAAATTAAAAAATAAAGCCACACAAAAATTATTTTATTGCACATTAATTTTTTTTCGTGCTTTTGTGAAGCTTTAACTTATTTTCTCATATTATATTCTCATATTATAGTATAAAGAAAATTGATTTTTTTTTAAGAACAGTTTCATCTGTTTCTTTAGCTTCTTATATTTTTTCCCGATTGCTTCACTATGGTTCTCGCGTTATATACCTGGATTTAGTTTTATCGATAAATCAGAAAAAAACTTTTTTTTCTGATTTAAAAAAAGAAAAGTATAATACAAACTGAGCGATTTAAAAAAAAAAATATTGATCTAGGTAACTTTGCCTTTCTGATGTTAAAATATTATCATTCATATTAAATACGCTTATAAATTATTAACCAGTCTAGTCGCTTTTACATGGGTTTACGTTCTGAGACGCTAGATATTTTAGACAAAATCGATGTAGAAGTTAAAAAAATAGCTGATATAAAAGGGTGCAAATTCCCAAATGATATTTTAAAAACCACATCAATCTGTCCACGTCTTGTGCTGTTTCGTCTGTTGAAGCCTCATCAGCCGTTTTGAGTTGTTTTGATGGTTTTAAATTGCAATAAAATACATACAAGTACATTTAAGGTAGTACATTCGATTATGCTGGCCAATAAATTTTATCTTGTGCGCTCACCACCATAATAACCCCCAGAACTTTCACGACGGATATTCCTTTTCTCGGAGGCCAATATCAGATCTCTTAGCCATTGGCTACAAAATTGCAAGAACTCCGCCCTTGCAGTCCTTCTCCAGTGCTTACGGACGCTTGCACTCTTGTGAAAAAAGCAAACTGTACTTTCCGCAAATCCATCTTCAACCCCTTCTCAGCGCATAAGAGTGTTGTTTACCAATAATTACACATAATATAGCAGTTATTTTAGATAAATTTAATTGGAGACGTATTTTTCCAGCGCAGTTTTAAAATCTTAAAAATGGGAAAAAAATTAATCTTATTTGGTAAAAGAAAAATTATGTTTCCCACGTTGAGCGTTGGGCAGTACAAGGAAGCCAGCAGAGCATCCAGAGCACCCGGATTTGGTGCCCGGGCTGGGCACCCGGTTTTGGTGCCCGCGCTGGGCACCCGGTTTTGGTGCCCGCGCTGGGCACCCGGATTTGGTGCCCGCGCAAGAGTGATTCACTGGTTTAAAAAATGAGTGAATCAATGGTTTAAAGAAAAAGTGACTCACTGGTTTGAAATAGAGTGATTTTGGGGTTTGAAAAAAGAGTGATTCACTGGTTTAAAAAAAAAAGTGATTCGTGGGTTCAACAAAAACAGTGATTCACTATTCAGGGTTTGAAAAAAGAGGGATTCATGGGTTTAAAAAAGAGTGATTCACGAGTTTATAAAAAGAAAGGAATCACGGTTTTATAAAAAGATTGAATTAAGGGTTTATAAAAAGAATGATTCGGGGGTTTCAAAAAAAAGAGTGATTTACTGGTTTGAAAAAGAGCTTGATTCACTGGTTTAAAAAGGAGCGATTCACTGGTTTAAAAATGCCTAATATTTATTATTTTACTCACTATAGCGATTTTGGAAACTGGAAACGCAAAAAAATTGCGCGTTAAACATTATTATTCAACTGCTGTGATCTTTGGTTATTCACTTCATCCTCGCTTCATCATTAAAATTAATAAAATTATTGTATTCATAGAAAATGACTAGAAATCACACAAAAGATCCTCAGAACACCAGAAACCACGTTTGTCAGAAGCTGTGTTCAATAAATAGCACTCCAATAAAATTATAGGTTATGGGCCATGCCGTACTGAAAACGAACCTTAATTTTAGAGGCCAAGGATGCAAAAATCCAATTTACTGCATTCAAAGTTTCCCTCATTTATTTAAATATTTTCACCAAATAACGGAGCGGCTTTTTATATGTTAAGGTGAATTTATTTTACTACCTAACAAGATATTGAAATTTATTTAGTGTGATGTTTCCGAGTTGAAACTTTCAAAATGTATCTAGTTTTTCAATTGCTATTAGCGCAAAAGTGTGTGTTACAAAAGTTTTTCTCGGACGAATCTAAAATTCAAAATGTATAGGGGATAATAAATTTTTGAGCTTCTTTTCCTAATTAGAGATGAAACTAAACTATTTCTTTAAGTAAAGTATTTAAAATTAAATAACAGCGTGACTGATCCTACCTGGTTGTCGGCAACTCTTGTAGTCCAGTCCCTGTGGAACTTTCTCTTCTTGTTTAACATCACCTTGATGTTGACATTCTGGGACCATAAAGTGAAGGCAGACAAAGGATGGATTTGTCGACTGATGTCTCATCTGTGTGAAATATCAAATATTGTGATTAATTCTTTGATGATACAACACAGAGGTGTGTTCCAAAGCAGCAAAATTTATGAAAATAATAATTTTTAAAAAAAAATTAGTCGGCTTGCTACATTTATCTTTTCTTCTTCAAAAGTTCATATAATACATAGTACAATTATATTAATGGTAGATATAGATTTAATCTTTGCACATAATTATTAAACACTGGGACTGTATATAGATACATATCTTCAAACTGTGCTGATTTCGAGAAGTGAAATTTGCAAGTAAAGAGATATATTTAAATTGAGTCCATCAATAACTGAAATAATTTCAGTTGTTTTCTTTTTGGAACAGACTAAAAGAAATTATAGTTTAGTCCGGTTTTGCCAATGAAAAGTACCGGCTTTGGCCTTTAAATATCAATATGCTTGGAGAAGGATATTCCAGATGCATAAAAACTATAGCCAAAATGATCAAATTGGAAGGCAAAACAATTCTTTCACCATTATTGTATTTCTAGAAGATCCCAATTTTTTATTCACCCTTTTCTCTATTTCAAAATACGCCTTGACAAATAACAAATGAATTATAAAATCTTCTTTATTTTAATTCATTTAAGTTGCAATTTAAAATTTTGCTATTTAATTTGTTGATGTTATTTTCTCTTACTAGTGCGAAAAAATGAATTCACCAGTGCTTAATCATTTAGTTGCAAACTAGTTATGCAACCAGGTGAATCTGGCGGTATCGCAGGTTGCATACGGCGGATGCGGCAGGTAAATCACCGCGCGCTCTCTCGGCAAAGGAATATGTATAAAGAGGAATTCTTCTCGTTGCGGAGAGAAAGACGAGCAAAATAATATTAATAATAGCTGAGGCTTGATTAATGGGATGGCGTGAGCGGCAGCCATCCAGCACTCACATTATTTAGACTCTTGCATTCTCGCGGCGAAATATAAAATATCCATCATCAATGCGCGCTCTCGGCGTTTGTGTGTATTAACAAAGGCAGATTTGAGAGTGGCAGGCGGCGGATTTTATTCCGGGCGTGCATGTGAAATCGCCATTAATATTAGGAAAATGTTTTTGCCTGCGTCATCCCGAAATGCACGCTGACGATGATAGATGTGCGCTGGCGTGTTTTCCGCCAAGAATTTGCGGCGACACGCTCTCTTCAACAAGACAAAATGAGGAGGAAGGCGTTCAAAAGACGCCGCGCCGATCCCGAAACAACTCAGAACAACGCCGCATTGAAAAATTAACGACAGTGCCATCAATCAAAAATTACAATATGTTTAATACTTTTTACATTTAAAATTACATGCGAGGTTTGAAATAAATTTTTGAAATGAAAATAGTAAAAAAAATTATAATTTATGGATAGCGAAAAAAGCGAAAAAAGTTCCCCAAAACAAGTTTATGCAAACTTTCAAAAGTTCTGTTTCTTATTCATAAAGAATTAACTTCTTAACACTTAAAAACATTTTATACTAAATTTAAAAAAATTGGTTGCTAACGTTGATTTAGCATAATTTTTGTGTGTTTCATGTTGCTTGAAATGAGTTAATATTTTCTGTATTTGAGGCACGAAAGTTTAAATTTTCCAAATAAATATTCTATTAATTTGAAAATCAACATTCAAAGGAGGATTTCTCGGACAAATGAAATCGGGCTATACCTCGACAAACAAACGAAAAAATACAAAGAGCATCTGATGGAACAAATATATTATACTGTCTTGTATTTCCATTTTGGACTTTTTCATAATTAATTATTTTCTAATTACATAAATTGTAGGAATTGATTTCGCATAAATGTATGATTGCTGAAAACACCAAAATTTATGCCAGAAAATTATATTTTACAAAATTTTCCAAACTTTTATAAAATTATATTCCGACTTCCATTTAAGAGCTGCTCAGTTTTAATTTGGGTTTAAAAAGATAATAAATATGGTCAATTAAAGTTTATGTTTGTGTTTTTTTAATTATATTGGTTATAAACGGCGTGATGGGTGCTCATTAGATGTTTTTCATCATTTCTGTTTGCATGGAATTAACAATTTAGAAAATCACGTTTTTCTTTAGCTTAAAACAAACCATTTTGGCAGCTAAATTTGTCCAAACTCCATTCAAGATTGCCAATTCGTTGTCAAGAAAAAAAATTAGAGTTAATTCGCCAAAAATTTGCTATTTATCATCAATTTCTTCAATTATCTCAAATCTGACTTTCTTCAAAATAGAAATAAATCATATATAAAATTACCGCAAATTCTGTTGCTAAGGAAATATTCCAGTGTCCAGTTTGCGTTCGGCGCAGTGCGCGGCAGAAAAATCGCTTTTAAATGAGCACCACGCCTGAATTAATTATTAACACATTAAATTTAAATGGTGGTGTTTGCAATCGAAGGGCGATTGACCACGCCCCGTCCACGTGCAGCCGAGGCGGTGCCAATTGGCACTGAACACGGCCCATTGCACCTGCAATCAATAGCACAACCCCTGGGAGAGCCGGTTGCACCACGCCGCATGGACAAACGTATGCAACACCACAACACACGCGGCCCTGCCCACCGACCTGAGTGCTCGCCGCCGCCAAATACATACATATTATGTACTTTTAGCCTATGTGTGCAAAACAAACGCGCGATAGGCCGGCGTAGGTGTTTTGCATTTCCATGTGCGGCCGTTTGTTATTTTTGTATATTCCGAATTGAATAATTTTATGTATGGGGTTTGAGGGTGTAAAAGTTGTTGATTTGAATCGTTAAAATAAAATCACCACTGCGGAAACGTTTCATGTAATTAATGCATGAAATAAATTTCGTTTTGAAATCTTAAAAAACAAAAATATAACTTAAATCAAGAATTGTAATAATTTTTTCCAATTTGTTGAAATAATTTTGCTTTAGTTAGAAAAGATCACCACTGCGACAATGTTTGATGTGATCTGATGTACCTACAGTAATTGGAAACTAAATTAAATCTACAACAAAAACGTCATATGAATGCAACTTATATTATAATTTTGAAATATTAAACGAGTAAAACAAAAGTGACGTGACGCTTTTCTTAATCAAAAGGATGCGGGACACTCGTGCAGAAAGGGATTGATTAAAAAACCATTAATTTTTCTTTAACTTTCATTTTAATTAGACTCTCCAGTGCCTATGCCACCAATTACAATTAAAGGCCGTTTTATGAGTTCTGCATTTACATGTGAGGCTTCTTGTTATTTTTATGTATTTGGAATTGATTATTTTCATGGAGTTTTAGATCAAAAGTTGTAAATTTCCATTAAGAAAGAGCACCACGCGACAATGTTTGATGTCATAAATTTGTCAAAATTATCAAATCATTTTTTGTTTTGAAATCATAATGATGATCAAACTTAATAGAAACCTGTTAAAATTTGTTATTTGTAATTATAATCATGCTTTGCATGTCAATAATAATAATAATATTATTGTAGTTTTTGTTTATTTTTCCACATTTTTACAAATACATTGTTTACATTCAATTGTTGAAAACTAAAAAAGGAATTTTTGGACAAAACGGCACCACCACTGGCAAGAATTTTGCTATGACTTTCGAGATCAAAAAGTCCCCATCGGCCTTAAAAAGTTTTTACCCCTTCTAATAGTTAAAATATTCTTCAATATCTTTACAAGTGGCAAGTCAATATTCTGCAGCACCTATTTAGCAAACATAACATTTTAGGTAATTTTTTTGTGCTTCAATGTATTTAATTAATTTATTAAATCATATTTCAACATTATTTTAAACTACATCCTCATAAGCAAAAAGTAGATTAAAACATTTTTTATATTTAATTAAATATTATAATTGGTTATTTTTCAATTTTCAAATACATTTTTATGGAGGCTTTACTAACAAATGGTTTCAATTTAGCTTTTAAAGTTATTACTATATTATTTTTATATATGAAAGTGCTCAAATATTAGAAATTGAAATTCACTAGAGTAATTAAGAAGTACTTGGTTCAGCTCCGCACGCTTAAGCTAAGTAAGCTAGTGATATAATAAATGCGTAACTAAATTTACAGAAATTGGAAATAAATTAAATCCACATAAAAAATTTCAAATGAATGCAACTTTCAAGTTAGGAAATATTAGAAGTGCCGCTTTTCTTAATCAAAAGAACGCAGGCCACGCGTGCCAAGGGGGATGATTCAATACCCATTAATTTTTCTCCCCTTTCCATTTTTAATAAGACACCCGAGTGCTCGCTGCTCCTTACATAAATAATGAGGGGGCGCTGGCGAAGCGAGAAAGAATCGAGCGCGAGGGGCGTACGTTTTCAGAAAACTCTGCACCCTCGCTCTTATTTTCTTTTCTCAGGGGTGATTTTTTATCCACCCTGCATGTGCAGCGGCACCAATGAGGGCGGGCGCTTTCTTTGCTCTGCCTCCACCCTCTTTTTCCTGCAGGCAAGATGCCTTCCTAATGCCGCTGTCAATTTATTCCTTTCCCCCAAGCTCTAGAGAGAAAGACTCTCTTTTTCTTCTTCGCAGGAAGAATTATTGCCTTGCGGAACAAGAGAGAGAGAGAGAGAGAGAGAGAGAGAGAGAGAGAGAGAGAGAGAGAGAGAGAGAGAGAGAGAGAGAGAGAGAGAGAGAGAAAGAGCGCGCCAATAAAACGAGTGTGCGTCTTTCAAACGACCATGCAGGGGAGTAAAACTGCTTCCAACCCTCAAGCGAACAATAAAATTTCTTATTCAGCCTTAAAAAGCAATCAAATTAAAACGCCGAAGTAGTAAAGTGAATTAAAAACTCTCTCCCTCCCTCAACCGGAATCCACACAAATGGCTGCGACGCTCAAAACTTTTCTCATCGAGGAAATTTCAGGACCAGGTTGATAATTTTTTGTATCAATTCTGTGGTTTTAATTTAACTTTTAAATAAATTACATTTAACCAGAATTGCATTTCGTATGCAGCTCTGCTGACCAGAGAGACGTGCAGTTTTAAATCACAGCTCTGCTCTTTCTGCATATAAAACTATATCAATTTTTATGGCGACGGCACCTGTGGAATAAGAACTCGTAGGTGCCATGCATGCTCCCTCGCATTAAACACGGCGCCAGAGCGTGTGTGTGTAAGTGGAGAAAAGCTGTGGGCACATTCTCCTCAGGCTCATACGCGAATTCAAGGCATGCACTCGGCATTTGCAGTCGCTCCTGATTTACAAGCGCAGCTTTTTCTCTTTAACCGAGTGGAAAATTGTCAAGAGTGACGTGAAAAATTATTATAATTTTATCTGATGCCGCAGTCTGCATGCAGTTTGTTTTAGAAAATTAAAATATTTGATCAATTATTTCTTATTCAAGTTGAAGTGTATTAAGAGGAGATGACGTTATTTTTTTCCATAAATATAGAATTTTTTAAAGGAATGGCAGAGCTGCATTTTGATATATGATATTCGGCGGACGCCTTATATTTTTTTTATAAAAAAAAAACTATTAAGTAAAACAGAAAACATCCACTATTTCCAGAACTACATTCGTTTGGTGATGAGGAATTTTACTTCACTTTTTCATGAATAATTTGCGAAACTGGATATTAATTGCAGACAGAATGTTTGTAAGCTATGAAATTAGATTTTTTAGGATTTATTCTTGGACTGGCTTTGCTTGGCACTGCCACAGAGTTAGCGTCTTAATGACAATATTAATTTGTACTGAAAATTAAATTGTTGCAGTAATTTTGGAGTCGTGCAGCAAGGAAATGAAACGTATACATGAAAATTAAATTGGATTAAAAAGAAAGCTGAAGTGCGAGGCTGATAAAGGGGGAAATAATGTTTGATCCTAAACATAATTATTAGAGCTGCAGGAGCGAGGAAAAGCAGCAGTTTTTGAAATTTAGGAAATCTGAATGCAAAAGCCTTTAGCTAAATCACTTTTAATTATGTTATTTAATAATCTTTTAAATTTCTATTGGTTAAATTGTGTTATTTTAGAGCAAAATCTTCGCAGATTATTAATTTAATTGTGAATTCGGCAAACTCCCTAAAATGTTGCAGTCGGCATCCAGTAGTTGCTAAGCATATATTTTTAATGTAAACAATTTCTTCTCATATACACAAAATTAAGTTGAAAAATGATAAGAAAATAAAGAATTAAAATAATATTTTTGTAAATTATTGGCAGGGTTGCTTAGATAAAACAAATTCCGTGTGTAAATTATCATATTGAGAGATTATAAAACAGCACAGGCCCTGAAAATAAGGGCCCAAAATAGGTATTTTGTCTGTTCACCTCTAGAATTTGGAGTGTTATGAAATTTAATTATTTGCTTAAAATTATATCAAGTTCAGAAATTTTGTTTTACCCTTTTTTCACAAGCAAAACTTTCATTTCAGAACTTGTCGGTTCAAACTTTCCTTATTCCACCTTTAATCCTCGAAGGAAAGGCGTTCCAGTCCTCCAGGGACGCGGGCTTAATTTAACTAAGTTTTCAGCTCGAACGGAGTGAATAACTTAGCCAGGGCAAAAATGCTCTGGGCGAAAAATTTTAGTGCCTCTCCCGTTTATTTAATGCCCATTTTTAAAAGTTGTAAAATTTTAATGGGCCATTAAAGGCTGCTGCTGGAGAATAAGGGCAACAAAATAAACCGCCCTCTCCCTTAATATCGCGCCGACGACGACAAAGTTTAAGCTGCTTTCCCGCTCCTATATTGCATTTTAGATTAAAAGTGGTGAAAAATTGGGCCTGAGACATTTTACGGCCGAGAGCGGGAAAGGCGTTTTATAAAAGCAGGCCGCAGCGAGCGACATTTTCTGCTCTTTTCCGCCCGAGATATTATGGAGTTGACATTAAAATTCACGACAAAAGAAATTAGTCGCGTGTTGGCATCTTCTCTCATTGGTCGGCGCAGCACAAAAACTTTTAAGACTGCTGAAAACTGAAATATTACAAAAGCGTGCGAGCACACCAGAGCAGAAAGACCGTCTTTTCTAAAGAGAGAGAGAGAGCGAGGGAGGCTTTTTGCAGAGCGCCGCGCACTCGCGTTTCCTTTTCCTTACTTTATTTCATTATGCGAGAGCCTGCAAGATTTATTTAGACGCGGAGCAAAACGCCGGACTGGCTGCTGCAGGAGAGATTTTTGCCATGCCACGTGCGCCGCGCACAAGAAGAAGAATTTCCCTGAAGAGCAGTGGCAATTAAGATTTTAATATTGCTGCTGCGCGAAATACATAATGGAAGAGCTATGCAAATTAGCAGCGTGTCAAATTAACTTGGCAAAGTAAATATAAATTCGCGTCGAGAATATTAAAATAACTTGAAGAATTTTACACAAAAGGGCCGTAAAATTTTATCGAGATGCTGATGCAAAACAGCGGCCTGAGATGAGACTCTCTTAAAGTGTGCGTGTGTGTGTAATACACATAAAATGGGATTTTCACCATTACTATGATTTTATATGCAGCGCTCTCGTCTGCATCTTGGTGTAATGAGAATTTGTTATTGCCCCTCCGCGCGTTTGCCAATATAGAAAGGCAAGATGTTAGCTCTCCGAAAACTTTACTTTGCAAATTTAATGATATTTTCGCTTTTAAGCACATCATGGTCCGCCAAAAAAGAGGCCACTTCAAGGGATATATCTTCAATCCAGGTTTAAAATACTTTTAAACTTTTAATTTGATTTTAAAACCTCTATAATTTGTAGTTTTTATCTGAAGTGATATGGAAAAGTTTAAAAAAATTGCACTTAAAAACTTCAAAATATTGCGTTTCAGGTCTCACTAAAAGAATTAAGTAATCCGTATTGAGCTTTTTACATAAATTAATTATTTTTGGAAACTTTACCAAATTTTTTATGACATTGAATAATGATTCATAAGCAACTTTACTCCCAATTTAAAACAGAAGAATGATTTTGAACCTTGGGATATAATTATTCCATTTTTTCAATTGAATGAAAAAAAAATGCACCACCATATTAAGAATTAATAAAGAATTTAAAGAGGTGAAAAGAGATTCAATTTGTCAGCTGCTAAAAGCAATCAACGCGATGATGCTGCAAGTTTTTGAACGTGTGTCTGTTTGAGACGCATGAACGCATGTTACTTTTTTTATTTATTATTTTTACAGCGTATGTTGTCAATTGGAAGATATTCCGGTTTGCATCAAGTGCACGCACGCAACGCCTTCTCGTCAGCACCTCAAACATTATTTTGTGTTTGTATTTTTATTTTGTGTACGCGCGTGCACAAACTCGTTCCCCCAGCATCCCAAAGGACCAGCGTATTATATGATCAAGAGACACCGACCTGACCGACCGCTCATGGATGAAAGACGCCGAAAAAATGCACAGGTGGCATAGAAAGAAAATTAATTAATCTGTATACTTTCCATTAATTACAGGAATTCATTATGAAAATAATTAGTTTTAAATGTAATTTTGGTGCTTTTTATAATACAATATTTTCGTGTAGAGAAACACTCGTTGCTTGCAGTTGGACATAAAAGAGTGAAACTTTGATTTAGTGCGATTTGTTGCAAGGGCTAGGCATAATTATTTCATGTTTTAGTTGTAGAAAAATTACAGAAATTATTTTAAACATTTGCTTACTTGTATTGGCATCATATAAGAATGCAGAACTGAAAAGTGAAGGGCCCATCTTTTTCAGGAAATATGTACAAAACCGCCAAATGTAGAAGGCCTGGAAAAAGATAAAAAGCAAACAAGATTTGATTATTTACATGTTTAAAATTAAATTACTGTTTAGAAAACAACTTTATTAAATACTTTTTAGCTATTTTTAATATAATCAAATTAAAATGTTATAATTTTATTTATTTAAAAATATAAGTATTTGGTAAAACACAATTGAGACACAATTTTTTCACCAGCACTGCTCACTATTTTATTTTTTCTTTTTTCAAATTATTTGATAAATAAAATATCTTACAATCTAATTATGATATATTAGTTTGAAAAATATTTGAGTTATATGCCTCTTTTATTTTTAATAAAAATTACTAATGAAATGAATATATTAAAGATTGTATTAATTTTAAAATTAATCTTTGTAAGTAAATTGCCTATACCATACGCATGGGTACTCGCTCGACCGAAATTTTCCAACGACAAACTGTCTTTCTCATCGAGCCAATTCTAACGGTCACTGCAAATAGGCTTGGCAATTCGGAGGCCTAGAAAAATGAGAAAGCTCTGAAGTTGGCGAAAAAAATGGAAGTGGACAAACCGGACTCTGTGTGCTGAGGGTGCCGGATGTTGCACCGTGGGACTGACGAGGGTTGCTTTGTGCCAAGATTTTTTTCGCTATCAGCGCGGCGCATCTCGCAACAAGTTTATAATGTATCAGACTGGTCACCCTAGTTTTTTAATCGCGCCGCTCCCCAAAGGTCACTTTAACCGACTGACCTCTCCTTGCAGAGACGCGCCGTGCATTTTTTATGCGCGCGGCGAAAAAAGTGGTCGCTGCACGCAACGCAAGACGCGTTCATTGTTGCCCATTTGAATAAGATATTCTTTTTCCGCGAGCGCAAACGAGTTTCCGCCGACCAGAGCAAGGGGTAGAAAAATTCAGAGCCGGTCTATTTTGAATTGCAACGTGTCCAGCCTGTTTTTTGAGGGGAAGAGCGATCGAGCCGCGTCGAGCCGCTTTTGCCGGCTGACCAGCAAAACTTGCTTGACCTTCATTCCCGTCCTGAGAAGCGAGTGATAAATACGCAACTTTCAGTTCTCTCTGCGTCATACATGTGGCCCCAGTGATTGTGTTTTTGTTGTTTGAAAAGTGCGAAATTTGCTGGATTTTGGTTTGGTAATTTTTTTCTCTTATTTTTCTTCATTTTTATAATTTTACTTTAGTTCAAAGGCGATCATACACATTATATAAAGTCTGATTATGTCATTATTAAGTCTAAATTTTTAACCATTTATTAATTGAAGCATAAATAATTTTTTTTAAATTTAGTAGCAAATTATGATTAATTGAAAATTATCGCTTATTGCTGCAATTTCATAACTGGTTTTAAAAATAGAAAGAATGTTGTTAGGATATTATTTTTTGAAGAAGCTCTACAAATTTTAACAATTTTCTTAATTTTTAAATTAAATTTAATCTTTATTAAATATACAAATTAACATTTCACATGTCATATCCAAAATTTTTAATCAATTCATGCATTAAAATTACAAAAGTTATATTTTGAATTTCTTGTTCTGCCTGCAGTTTTTCAAATAACCCATAATTTTCCAGAATTAAAACTCATAATCACAATTGAACTATGGATTTTGAATAGAATTATGATATCCTTTAAAAAAAAAATGTACTTCCATATTTTTCAATCAGAATTTTCCAATTCGAAATTAATTGCTGAAATTTGGTCAAGAGTGGCCACTAGATTATTTCACGGCTATTAAGCGGCTAACATGGGAAAAGATCTCTTCTCTGTCGAGTCACACCGAGGGTCATTTTCGCGCCCCTCAGGCGAACCCTTAAAGGAGCATCTTAGAAACTCCTTCATGTTCTCGGCGGCTGTTTGCAAGGCGTGTGGCTTTGTGGTGCAGGTTGCGGGAGCGGCAGGGGTGGCGGGGCGAAACGGCGCCTACGTTATATCCATGTAGGTGCAGAGGTACCTAGACTTATGTAGCGATATTAAGAGCCATACACGTACTACTCCAGCACCAGACGTGTGCCCTTGGCACACATTTCATTGATCTAACCTAATACACTTCAGCTGTCTCGCTCTCAAAGTCGTAGACTCCACCAGCAAGAGTCAAAGTGCAAAATTAATTCCGTTTTTATTTATATTTGTTATTTCTTTCCATTTCAATTAAAATTTTCTTTGCTTGGTAACAAGAAAAAGCAGCCAGGGGTGAAAAAAGCCGGGCTTATGTATTCATAAAATATTTCTGTTGCTAGGGTCGGTCGACGCGGGGGTGCAGAGAGGGCGCGTAGCTAAGGAGAAGCGCGGCGTCATTTTTAAGGCGCTTGCGCTCGCTAAATCGAATGAAAAACGCGAGGACGAGAAAGAAAATAAGAAAAGGCATGGCAGCGTCGGCAACTTGGACGGGGGCGGAGAAAGAGCTCTTTTCCACCCTCTCCACCCCCCGAAGGCTCGCTGCAAAAGTTACAGCGAGAGCTTCGTTAGCTGGAAAAACTAACTTTGCCTCGCGCGCCGTCGGAAAAGCTCAGAAACAAGCCATGAAGTATTATATGCGCGAAAAAAATTCCTCTCTCTCTCTCTCGCTGGCATATACACAGGCGGGGATTAAGACCTGGCGTCGTCTCCGCACCAGCTTTTCCTTCCTTGTGCAAATGAAAAGTGCCAAGAGAGCGACGAATTTTCCTGCTGGCGCGGCAGCTTTTTGCCGTTCGTGCAAACTTTTTCGCCAAAATCCGGCTGAAAAGACGCCTTGAGAGAGAAGTCTGCTCTCGTTTTAATATTTCCTCTCTTAGATGCGGAGATTTGCAAGCGCTGCAAAGGACACGTCTATAATATTCAGAGCAAAAGAAAGAGAGAGACGTCGAGTTGGAACTCTCTCTCTCTCTCCGGCTCTCATTCTTTTCTCTTATTTCTCCCCCAACTGGGAATTAAAGCAGCTCTTGCAGCAAAAATGAAGGGGCTGCGCTTCATATAAAAAGAGAGAGAACATTTTCCAGTATAATGTGTGCCGCACAAGAGGGGAGCGAGCGCGCTTGATGTGATATATAAGAAGAGGGTAAAAATTAAGGAAAAGATGCCGTAAAGAGATTGGTGGAAAACGAGAAAAAACATGGCTGCGCGCTCTGTTTAACTGGCGCCGTTGTGTTTTATGCACATCAACCCTCGCAGCTCTTGATGTTCCGCGCTGCAGCGGAAAAAGCTTCATAATCAGACGTCAAACTTTTTGCTGCACCAATGCAAATAACATAACTTGTAATCAAAACTTTCAACATATGTTTTTGATAAAAAAAAATGTGATTCTTCGGCGATTCTTTTATTTGTAGCATTAACAATAAGAGCTTGGGATTAATGGTTAGTTACAGAAAATATAATCCTGCTTTTTTGGCTGAAGATGCTACAGAAAATGAATTGATAGTGATTATATTTTATTTTTTAGATAACGAATGGCACCATGCATGCAAACAGAATTTCATTTTTGCATACAAAATAATTGCTATTGTTCAATATAATAATTTCATTTAACGATAATTTTTTTCTATGACTACATTGAAGAATAAACATTGCTATATATCACAAAATATAAAGTTGAAAGTTCATTTTTCATAATTATATTTAAAGAAGAAAAAGAATGTTTGGGAAATATCTGCGTGATAAATCAAAATTAATAAGTGAGGAAAATAATTATGAAAATAATGTTTCTCTATTTATTAAATAATAAAATTATTGATTTTTAATACATTTAAGGTTTTATTATTATTTAAACATTAAATTTCTATGGAAATTTACTTATAATTGTTAATAATGTCATATTCTTTTTTATATGTTTTGACAAAATAGAGGTTTAAAACTTTGTTCATCAGCCATAATAGGGTGGAGAGAGTCGATTGCTTTTGGCACGGTGGCACCTAAATATCTCCAAGTCAACCAACCAATTTTCCATTAATTCGCTCGGCTCCTCTTGCACGGTTTGATTAGAACCAGCGCTGGCGGTAATATTTTTTATCGCGATGGAAACTTGAGCGCGTTTTCCATATACCTGCAAGCGAATAAAAACCTGCAAGAGAGAGAAGCTCATCGCGAAATGCGTGTATTTATACGCCTCTCTCGCACACAAGCAGAGACGGAGATAAAATTTACATTTTCCCTCGGAGGCTCCAAGTTTAAGGAGATGAGGAATATCGCCCACTAATATATAAAAGTGAAAGAAGGTATATATGCTGCTGCTGGATAATGGCAATTTAGACTGAACAAACGTGCCGAGATAAAGTGAGAGTGTATATATGCCAGAGCCATTTCACAAAGATAAAACTGAATTCGTTTTAAACTTGGTAATTGTAAAGTTTTAATGGATGGCGCTCGCGCGCGCAAGATTTATATATTTTCTCAGTCAGAGTAAAACGATAATTAATATTTTTTGATTAGATAAGTGCTCCTGCCTCCCTACACCGTAAAAAGTTTTCTTCCAAAGGTAGATTATTATATTCTCTGTGAATTTACGATTCGAGGGCGCAATTTATAACTTTGCTACTCGCCCGCGCGCGCCGTTCTCGCTCTCTAATATTTATTTTTCCTCCAACCCTCCTCCCTCTTGAGTTCCACTCGAGAAAAACATTCTGTGCTGGATTATTAAGGAAATTAAAACTTTTATGAGCAAACTTTCCGCTGAGCAGGAGAAAGAGAGGGGGCGGAGAGAGAGAAACCTGCTCGCTGAATTCATCAACAAATATAAATGCAAATTATGAAATTTACCGTCGAATTAGCTCTCGGAATCCGACAAAACTTTTCAAAGGAGTTATTTTACAATTCCAAATGTTATTCTAATGAGAAATTTTTCTCCCAAGGTTGATTTTTGTTTCAAAAAATCTAATTTTTTTCAGTATAGATGGCGTGTGTACAAATTATATTATTTGTGACTCATAATTCAATACAAAGAAACCTACCATTATTTGCTATTTCTGAGGTCATTAATTAAATAGGAGGAATAATAATGGCGGTGTTTCTTTCACGCGAGGTCCGCACATGCGAT